GGTATCAATCCAGAGAGTGAAGAAAGAAGAGGTTGAATCAAAGATAAATGCATGGCAGACTGCTAAAGTTGCTAAGGTTAACAATAGGTTTAAGAGGGAAGACGCTATTCTCTCTGGTTGGGAGACTGAGCAGGTCCAAAAGGCAAATTCATGGATGAAGAAAGTTGAGGTACGTGGGAATAACTATATATTAGTGTACTAATGACTCCATAATTCAACTTTGTACAATTCTTCTAACCACCTACCATATATGTTTCTACTCGGTGCTATGGTAATCATTGGCAGTTGAGAACAAAATCATCACTGACTGTTTAAAAATAAGATTTTGCAGCAAAACAAAAGCTTGTTGTCATCTTATCTACAGTTAGTATTGAAGTGATACATGGCCCTAGTGGCATCTAGTTGCAAATTTCAACTGAGTTAGTGATTATACCTTGTGAAATTTCGTCATTAGTGCTGACTTTGTTCATCTCTTATTGGTCTTAATTGTTGAATGACATTTAGTTAAGGTGCCTGGAGTTATAACTGCGGAAATGACTTCTGGTTACAGTAACAAAGAGAAAAAAAGGCATCAAAATGTTTTTTTAGCTCCATTTTGTGCTAAATATTTCCCACACATGTTTTAACTGGTTCAGCCTCAGAACTGAACTGATCCAGACTCAGAACTTGTTTGCAGTTTGGATAGAGTTAGAGTGAGTTTCCTCTATAAATTACACTTCATTAGTCCTTAGCCTCCAAAGTTGAGGATTTTTAGTTTGAATGTTGATTTGAATAAGAAATGCATCTTGCTTTGTCCCCTTTCCATATTATTGAGTGAATTCAGGGTAAAGAGGAATATGGTTGAGTACTTAAGCAGTTTTCAGGTATTGAATTTAACCAAATTAAAGATAAACTTCAGACTGAAGAACATTCTGATTGCCTCTCTTAATAGTAATTACTTCTTATGGAGAATTTACTATTATTCTCATTCTGTACCCACAACTTGTAACCCCCAACTTAGTATTATCAGTCAATCTTAGATGATTGAGACTTGAGATGTGAGTTTCTGATGCTTTAGCTTCAAAACATGACTAAGGAACAACATCCAAGAACATGAATATTGTAAATCTCTTGCATTATTGATAGTTATCTTTGATTATGAAACACAAAGTTGAATAACCACTAGTCTCTCTTGCCTGATGATCAGATTATAATTATGGATCATCCCTATTAGTGCAAATACCTGCATTTTGTACTTAAAAAACTTTTAAAATGTTTAACTGCAGATAGATTGCATATGAAATGTAATCGTATGACTCTCCAAACTGGCTTAAACTGTCTCCTCAAGCCAACTAAGAAAAGTATTAACACAAGTTTTGGCTATTGTAGAGGAAGCTGGAGGAGAAAAGAGCAAAAGCCCTTGAAAAGATGGAGAATGACATAGCGAAAGCCCGCAGAAAAGCAGAGGAAAGAAGGGCATCAGCAGAGGGCAAGAGAGGAACAAAAGTAGCCAAGATTCTTGAAGTAGCAAACTTGATGAGAGCTGTTGGTAGAGCTCCTGTCAAGCGATCCTTCTTTTAAGACCAGATATACAACATATACCGTCAGAAAATATATATCTGTACTACAATCTGCGGAGGAATAAGCACATCATCCATCAGGATTTCCTACTTTTTGAACCATAGGTAAACCTGAATGAAGTGTGGCATCCAAGAGTTGCTTCAAACTATGAAACAGCTAAATGTATTGTAGTTTGTGCTTTGTGATGGTTTTGCCACATTCTGATTTGAGAATATTCAGGATTTACCCATAACAAATCAGAGTGGCTAAAAGTTATGGTCATCTATGGATTGTTAATTTGATATTGATCTTCAGTGGCACTTGCCAGGGAAGATGCATAAGATCAAATGGCAATCTAGCCTTGATAAGTGTGCAATACCATTCCCAGAGAGTTTGTGAGTGAGAATTTTGAACAATCTTGTACAGATTTTGGACATCTATATATGTTATTAGATAAGAAATTCAAAGTCTTCAATCTGATACGTATTTTTCTGATTTCAATAAGCATATGCATAAGATCCAATCCAGTACTACTGAAGTAGGTGTGAAATTTAACTTCAACTCTAGTGAAGTATGGTGCCATTAATAAGATCACAATCCTCTATCCACAGGCTTGTCAGACTTGAACCCTATACTTCCTGTTACCCTGATATTTTTCTTTGGGCAGGTAAGATTTTATTGATACCGAAAGAACATACAAGAGAAAAGGGGCACACCCCAGTTATAACCAAACAACAAAGTCAAAATTGCAACAAAACATCCCTCGTGGGTAAACATACCACATCAACAAGAAGGTTAAATATCCTACACAGTAAATAGACTCAGTCATATAACATGTATGATACTCCATTGTTGACAAATCATATGGAAAAAAAAAAGCTCTGGCAGGTTCCAATTCCTTTGTAGTTGCCTATTTGAGTTTGTTCTCTTCAAGTTCCGCAGGGAAAACAATTTACATCTTCCCAATTCAAAAATCTCCTTATGAATGAATGGTTACAGCATCTCTGTGTCAAAAATCTATTACCCTGACATTTGCTTTAGTTGTTATGCCCGTAAAGTCAATATCTCTGTGTCAAAAAGCAAACTAAATGAGAGAATGAAGTCAAGAGACTGAAGATAAGCATTGTTTATGATTGATCTTTACAGTAAGTACAAAATCTAAAGCCAATCCCCGCTATGTTTTGAGGACCGTTGAGATTCCATATGTTTTTTCTGTCTACCAGTACCTGACTCACATCCAAGAACAAAAAAGCATAAGAAGACAAATGAAAAACGAAAAGAATGAAAAAGTTTGGAAGGAAGAAAGAGACGTCACTTGCTACTATTGGATTCACAATGGGAGCAATTAGATACTAATGACCAATACGCGCTAACCTGTGATTAATTATAAGGTAAATTACTTATTACCCCCTAGTGATTTTACATAATGCCATTAACCCCCCTCCCCTGTGATTTTATGTAAAATAAAAAAATGGACAGAATACACAATGTTACAATGTTTACACTTTAAAAGTGTGTGCAATAAAATCTTAATATCCGTGTAACCCCTTTATGATTTATATAAATATTCACTTTATCCCCCTATGATTTTTGCATTTATCTACGTAATCTTCCTATACTTTATACAAAGTGGTTAGCCAGTCGATTGATTCAGCATTTAAATAAAGGCACTATTGGTATTTCAACTAATGGCGGTACACAGGTTATTTTTCATCAAGTTTCCACTTTACGTAAAATTATAGGGTGTGAAGTGGATATTTTAAAACGTTAGAGAGGGGTCATGTGATAATAAAAAAATTACAAAGGGGTTATACGTAATTTAACGTTAATTAAATGAACAGATGTCTAGTTTTTTGTGGGATGTGTTGCTTTTTCCCTGCTGAATTTGTCAGGTCCTGCTAATACACTGCTAATGATAACGAAAATGGAGCAGCAACAATAGTGCAAATTAATGATGGTGCTGAGCATTACATGTTGCCTACCGAATTTTGTGATCCTGATTTCTGCATTTCCACTTCAATGGTGGAAAATCGTTGAAGTTGCTGTTTTTGGACTTCCAATTCCTGACTTTGTGGTTGTCTTTCCTTTTAAGTACCATATGATCTTCATGCTGCTCTGTTTCAAAGACATTTTTGTTCTAGCTTTCCTTGCGACTCTGTTGCAATACAGCAACATCCCACATGAATTATTGAGGTGAGCCTGAATACACAGCAGCGTCCAACATGAATTATCACAGGTAAGTTTGAACTTAGTACCTTTACATGTCTAAGGCTTAACTGATTAACTTTACTACTCTCAGTAAAACAAGTCTCTATCCGACTCGTATGGAATTCTTAGGCTGGTGGGTGTCGCCTTTGTCGGGAGTCTAATCAGGCGGGAGTTAACCGACTCGGAAATCGTAAATGAAACTAAAGAAACGTTATTAAATTAATAAAGTAGTTTTGAGGAATAAAAGCATTTTTAAGGTGTTTGGTGAGAATTATTTATTAAATTTAAGAGTGGAGCTTTTGTTTGTTAAAGCACTTTTAGCATAAATTCAAAATGGATGCTTTTAGAATAACTTTTTTTTTTTTTTCAAAAAGTAAAACATTAAGTTTAACCATTTTATCTTAAACTTTTGACTAAACGAAGAGATAAATATATTCCAAAAATTTCAAATCACACATTATTAATTAGAAAAGGTACTTATGCAAGTATACACCCAAACATGATCGAACGCTTAATAAGTGCTTTATCAAAAATTCTATCAGAATTGTCTGCGATCTAGTAAATAGCTCTACGAACGAGTGGATCGGATTGACTTAGAAAATGGAAAGATTTGTACAAGTTATACGTTTCGTCACCACTTTGTAAAAAATCATTAGGTATGAATATGTTAGATACCCGTGACTCGATTGGTAAAATAGCATCTCTCCCCCTAACACAACATGTTTTTTTTTTTACCGACAAAGAAAATATTTTGTTGCGAGTGAACAAAATATTGAGAAATTATCCATACATAAAATCATAATTATTGATACGGGCTTTTTTCACGTAAAGGGGAACCTTTTATTACAATAGAAGCAGAAGTGAAGTGGTGAGGATTGCCAACGGCCCATGCAATTCTAAATGACCACCTAGGCAATCCAACTTTCAAGTGCTAAAATCCACCACGAACTTGATTTTGCCATCACTAGCACCAAACTAGACCCTAATGACGAGGAACCAACAAGAACATTGTTCAAGTGCTTGATCGCACAAAAGAGCAAAAAAATTCACGCATTGTCAAAATTGGACTCTTTTCATATTCTAAAAATCTTTAACGCAATCTACTACAAAATGTCTTGTATAACACTTAATTTATGGCACACTACCTAATGCAACAAAGATACTAGAATCAAGCTAGCAAACTACGGAGGGGGAAATGCTATTGGGGGCAGGGGCTTATGAGGACCAGCAAATACCAGATGCATTAAAGGCGTCTAGTCCACATTGTCAGTTATAAATGGACAACCATTCTTCAAGCCCATGTAATCTGACTGCCAACCTTCAAGAACCGTTCGGCTCGGAGAACATTCACCAGTCTGGGCATCATTGTATCCACCAATCTGCTGCAGCTGCAAGCCATTTTCCAAAACCGGATTGAAGTTGATCTGCTCAACATTAGATGCTTCAGTCAGCCCAAATGCCATCTCCTGTGGTGGACCTGAAGGCTGATACATTTGATTATATTGTGGATCAAACGGTGCCTGGTTTGGATTGTAGTAGAGGCCCGCGACAGTGCAATAGCGGTTTTCTGGGAAAGGTGGAAGCTGGCCTTTGTCATTGGAGAAGTTGGTTTCCTGGGAAAGGGGGAAACCCAGTCAGAGCTGGACCAGTTAGAATGGGGCTAGGGAACGGGGGATGGGGAGCATGATTCTGCATTTCTTCAACTCCTGGATGGGCTGATCGAGGTGGAGGTGGAGATGGAGGTAAATGGGCTCGACTGCCATGAGGCTCTGCATCGCTAGGACTCCTAGATGGGCCACAATCATCAATAGCATTTTGATTTTTCTTCTCCTTATTGGCAGTGCCTCTTTTCTTGTATATCTTGACCAGAACCCAGTCATCTAACTGCAGGGAAAGTATGCATGTTTGCAAGTGAGGAGAAGGAAATTAACAGCAAAGTTTTGACAATGCAACAATTTTTGAAAAAAAAAAAAAAAAAAAGAATGCATTGATCAGGATTTTTCCATTGATTACAAATCCAAGTGTGCAGTAGACAATATGCTGATTATTGTGTTTAGTTGTCTAGGAGAATTGAGATTAGTTCAAAGGGTAAAGCATTTGTTTTTTTTTGGGGTGGGGTGGGGGGGGGGAAGGAGGGATATACATAAATATACATGTAGAGTAAATCTTATATATATCGATAGTGTATACACTATCATCGTTTGGTTCATGATATGTGTGTAAAAATTGAATTTTAAATTCAATTTTTGTATAATTGTCATTCATCCAATGCTAACAGTATCAGTGTAGGAAAGATTAATCTATATATATATATAAGCAGTGGTTACCTTCATGTTATTAGGCCTCGGAGTACTGTTCCTCTTGAGTTTATAGTCGTGCATAAGCCAATCTGTCTTTTTCATTTCTTTGTTTCTCCCTGTCTCTGCATAGAAAGCTAGAGGCTGTTTGTACCCAACTGTGTTTTCGTGCTTATAAAGGATTGGTTCATCCGCTGCCGTTGGTCTCCAGTTTCCACCACGAGCATTTCGGTCTGGTCTGCTCCCATTGGCGTAAATTTTTTATACCTTGGTGTGAAGAAATACCATTCTGTATCCCTTTCTAGTTTGTGCTTTTCTGTTGAAAATTCAGCCAGGGAAAAATTAATAGCAACAGCAACTCTTAGTGATTGCACGTCCAATTTGTATGCATGCATAGAATAAAAAGTGTGATAATTTGCATCTATGCTTGTCACTTTTTTTTTATAAAAAAAGGGCAAATTATACTTTATTCCCTTGTGGTATAGCTAATTTTCATATAACCCCTTATAATTTTAAAAGCTATATATATAATCCCCTTATAGTTTGGATTGAAGTGTCAAAATGACAGAAATGATCATCCGTAACGGAACCTATAAAAATGTCGAAATTACTCTTGTTTAAAAATTAAAATAGTTGAAGTGACCAAAATGTATAAATATAATATGCATGACACTCTAATCCCGTATGGTTTTATATTTTACTATATAACCTCCTTATGGTTTAGTATTTTACCATATAATTCCCTTATGGTTTTCAATATATATATACATAACTCCTCTTGTGGTTAATAAATAATTTTCAACTTATATAGGGGTATTTTTGATATTTTACTTGACTCTATTATAGATTGCAAATTTCATTACTTTAACACTTTAAATGGGCAAAAAACCTGAGCGGCCATTAAACTATTGTCAGGATCATGTTTTGGCCATCGAACTATTTTTCGTCAATAATTGACCACTAAACAACTTAATCAGTAAACCCGTGCCCATTTCGTCGGTAATGGCTCTTAATTTCTGAAATTAGCATTACACGTGGCAAATCATATGAGCAATTTTGTCCAACAATTTACTGACCGTTCACTTACATTAAACCCAAATGTGGGGCCACCTTCACCTCCGATAGCCCAGTAATCAATCGATACATCTACTTCTTGTTAGCCGCCTCCAATATTAGCTCTGGTGGTGTAATGTAATCTTTTCTTATTGTCATAAACGTGCTCTCTTCTCAAAACCATTACCTGGTTTCTGATCTCGGCAGCCGCCGTCTCCTTAGGAGTTGGCCTAGCACTGGCAGCGCCTCCTCCGCTTCCGGCGATGCTCCTTGGGAGTTGGCATAGCAGTCAGTGGCGGAGCTAGGAATTAACTTTAGGGGGGGCGAGTCTATAGCAATGAAAGTAAAATATATTTACAAAAAAAAAAATAATGTGAACATATAGAGATGGAATAAAAGCAGCAAGAACATTTGCAACCTAAGCAGACATAAGTGACATGCACAAAGTATTATTCAATAATAAAATGCAAACAAATGATAAAAGATCTCCATTAGAGCAGAACAAGTTCTCATTTCAAACATATCTCAAGGAAGTTTTCATAGCTTGTTATTAAATCGGCTGAACTTGAACAACTAACACCTACTTGAACTCATCAACTACTGTAATCCAAAAAATAATCAATAACTATCCATGCCAGTAAAAGTTTCTATAGTCTAAACAAGCATTACTTTAAAGTATTAACGGAAACCGACCATAATAAATATGTACAATTTAAACTCCTTAAATTGCATAGCAAATTCTCAGCACAATGTTGAGAAACAAAGATAGACAATTCTAGAGGAACAAATATTCAGGAGGTCTTACTGCCTGCTGTCTAGAAAACCATGATAAATAAAGCAATGATAAAATAAAATCAGTAAAATGACAAGCAGAAAACTAAAACTCAATGCGACAAGTTATTTGCCCAATAAAACTCAATGCTACAAGTACGAAAAATAATACAAGTCCCTCTCGAGCAATTCATCAAACAACTAGCGGGCGAACTTTTTACACCCACATTTCACTAAATAAATGCAATGTCAAACTAACCTGGTAAATGGTAATAGCTACAATAGTCTGAAATGGTATTGATGATCAGTGTTAGTTTATCTGGCATTGCAATTTAAACAACAATAGTCTGAAATGGTATTAACCTGCTCTGATGATACAATAATATGAAACAACCCCTTTACTTCCTAAAAAAAAAAAAGACAGGTTCAGCAAATGCTAAAAGAAAAATTACCTAGACGGCTAGACCATGCAAAATGCAATGGTACAAATGTACAATCCTTAGCCAGCGGGGGAAGGTCTTCACAGGAGAAAGTTTCTTCAAGCCTTCACAGGAGAAAGTTCTTCAAGGCTCAAGCCTTTGACGTTTCTATTTTCTACTTTGACGTTTCTACTTTTTTTTTTTTTTTTTTCCAAACGATAAAAGATTGACGTTTCTACTTAGGAAGAAGAATTGTGGCAGTCAATTGCCAAGTTAACTAACTAGCTATCTTTTCTTTGCACTTCATACGTTAAGAAAATAATTCTCTGTTATTTGGACTTTCAAATATTATTATTTGGGCTCTTGGGGGGGCAAAGTGAATTTTTTGATTAATTTTTGGGGGGGCAAAACATAATAATAAAATTTTTTTTACTTTTTTTTTTTTTGTCGAAACGATAGATGTCCTATAACCTAATCTAGCCTAGTCTAAGGGGAAGGGAAGGGGGTTCGATGTGAGTACAGACTTCATCGATGAAGGTCAATTAAGACCGCCACAAATTGTGGCAAATTTGTGAGAGGCAGGGATTGAACCCCTGACCTCCAGCATCACCTTTAATGGTGATGATCACCGGACCAAATGGCCAGTGGCATAAAATTTTTTTTACTTAGAAATTTTTTTTTAACAATTGGAGGGGGGGCGGTTGCCCCCCCTGGCCCCCCCTTCCCTCCGCCCCTGATAGCAGTAGCAGCTTCTCCCCAACAAGGAGCGTCATTTCTCCCCCGATGAAAATTGCGACATAATAACCGGATGCGGGGTCGGGTCTCGATCCGAATTTGGCCAGAGAAAGACCCAGAACACCCGAGCAATAGTAGAGCTAGTATTTGGAAGACCAACAAGTGTTTTGGATCCTCGTTTCTTCCAGAAGGTAAAGCACGGATTGAATTGAAGGTGGAAGGAAGGGTACGGTGGAAAAGAAAGGTGGTGGTTGTCGAGGAGGAGGTAGATGTGGAGGGAACAAGTGTCGAATGGGCCTTTGGACCAGGTGAGGCCAAAGAGGCCTTGTTAAGTTTGATAGAGGGAGGTGGTGAGATTAGGATTGGCAGAAAGGACCGTCTTGGCGGCGGCGGCGGTACGGAAGCATGAAGGGAAGGAAAAAGAGTGGTGGCCGGGATGGGGCATTTTGAGAATTCCAACTATAATGACTTTGGGTCTGGAGTGAGGTTTGGGAGATTGGTTGGATTTGCTTTTGTGAAATGTGATGATGTAAATTGCGGGTTTTTGTATACTTAGTGATCCATGCACCCTTGACGTGTACAGCTTTTTTTTTTCTTTTCAGTTGATGGGTTTAATGTAAGTAAACGGTCAATAAATTGTTGGACAAAATTGTCCCTGTGGTTTGCCACGTGTAATGCTAATTCAGAAATTAAGAGTCATTACCGATGAAATGGGTACGAATTTGCTGATTAAGTTGTTTAGTGGTCAATTATTGACGAAAAATAGTTTAATGGCCAAAACATGATCCTGACAATAGTTTAATGGCCGCTCAGGTTTTTTGCCCTAATCCAAATTATGAGAAGGTTATATATAACTTTTGAAACTATAGGGGGATTATGTAAAAAATACTAATCCACAGGCGATAAAGTGTAATTTATCCTAAAAAATAGGTAAAACATCATAAACCTTGCAACCCTACAAGATATTGGTCAACAAAAATGTGAAAAAGTAACTAGACAAGAAGATACAACAACCCTAAAATTATTATCGAGTCTTTGAACAACGATCCACGTTCTTGCTTGTTCTAGGGCAGAGGATAAACACTCCATATATAATAGAGTGCCGGCTCGATAAAAATCTCACATTATCCTACACCTCCTTAATTTGTGTATCACTTTTGCGGTAAAAATTCAGAATTTGGATGACAAACAGTGATTGATCCTACCCTTTGTTAAGACATAAAATAGAAGAATCCTTATGTTTTACCCCTTTGGTCATCTACAAGATAGTCTCTAGGATCCGTGAAATTCAGGCAGCTTGGCTAAGACGTAATAGTAAATAAATCAATTTTTGAGAATTAAATTGGTGATGTATGTCTTGAAATCTTGTCCGGAATGGTGTTTTGAATATAGATACCTACACAGCCCTATTGAAGGCGTTCTTGGATTCAAACCCTTTCATTTAAAAAAGTAAAAAAGAACATTTATATAACATGCATGTGTGAAACTTAAAACTCCAGTAGATAGTAAATAGCAGAAGATATATAGCAATCAAATATATTGTTGGGGTAATGTATACACTGGAATTGGGTATTGCTAAACAGAAGAAGCTACATCTCTCTGATACTCAAAGTTGTGGTTAAGAGAGATTTCTGCTACTGCCCTAAACAGGGATTTCGTCATTTTTTTTTAATGTCTAACAATGAGTAAATAGTATTCATAACAAGAAAAAACTCATATGTAAAATCATCACCATAACCCTAGATGATAGTGTTTTATTACTAAAACTCAGAAGGATAATTATCCTCGCCTCTCCAAGATTTTCTCTTCAAATTGTTAAGAAGCCAAGCAATAAGGAGCAAGATAATTTCATCATGAAAAATTAGGTATATATAAAGAACTTACAAGCTTTTTCTACCCCCGGAAGTTTCAATTGTTTGATGGCTATGGCTGTTGTTTATTCAGATGATTAATATAACATTCAGAGAAAGAGATATCTTCCCACTTTCGTGCTTGCGAATCCCAATCCTAGGGAATTTGGGATACTAACAAGATGGCAACAAAGTAGAGTTGGGGTCTGCATGGATTGGTTGACTTTTTGAAGAGGTCAATCATGGTACCAGAGGGAGGCCCACTTCGCGGTTAGAG